GCAACAATTGGTTTGGAGCTTCCCCAACCAAGTTTTATGACATAGCTCGGCAGTACTTCCTCTTCAGGAATTTACCCTTGAAGGACTGAAATTACAAGTTCATTGATATTTTAAAAATAGAGAAAAACAAAGAAATTATTTGTAAACATTCTAGATTAAAATGGTTGTTCCTATAGAAACTTATGTTGCCTTTATAAACAATCTTCTATGTAAACAATTCATTAAGAAAAACAAAAATAAACAAATATCAACAGTTTGTCGTTGTAACAGTAGTTAAATAATCTGTTCACAGAAAATAGAAGATAGTAGTAAGCCATCAAGCAAGATGGCAAGATAGTACCAAGAGTTTGTACTATGCATAAGTGATGATTTGATCCTCAAAACTTTCTTACATATAGTACAAAGATAGCAAACCTTAGATCTCAATATATTATATATAGGAATGTGGGCGTAATAAATGTAAGTAATACAATCGACCACAATATTTATTAATTTAATAACAATACATTATATAACATCAACAATCAACAAGGATATAATCTAAACTGTAAAAATATCTCCAGACATTTACAGACTAAGTTAGGCACAATTTAACAAAATCCTGAACCAATGAAAGTGGTTTATAAATTAATACGAAATATAATACGAAACTATCGGTAACCGATAGTTGAATCAAATATAAGAGTTATTTAGACATATACACCTCATATATACGATATCCTTAATGTGATAAAATGATAAACGTTACAACATTATCCTTGAATTTTTTCCCGTAAAAATTGAAAAATTAAATTGTCAAAGCAGTCGATTTTGTTTTTGTTAAATTTATTTTATGTTATTTAATTTTTTATAGAGTTATACAATTTAAAAATTAGATGATTACTGATAAAAACTTGTCTTACTTAGGTTTTCAATCTATTTACCGAACCACCACGTGTGACTATACCTTCAGATATTTGCGTAGCAGCAAATATTTTTAGATGATAGCACTAAGCCCAAATTCAAAAAAATTCAGACCTATACATATAGGTAAAGGTAAAATAACCGAAATTCTTAAAGTATTCAAAGACAACAACTTTATATACCAGACGCTAGTATTCGAAAACATGAAATGTTAAGGATTATGATGACCAAATATTTTAAAAGCATTAAAATCTACACCCACAGCTATTTTCGGAGATTCATTGGAGCATAGAAAAACTATACATTAGGGTTTTTGGAAAACGTTAATTTTTTAAGCATCAAGTTTTAATAAAGTCTAAAAGTTATGAATATGATTGATGATAAAAAAAAAATTTAAAATGTGCAAAATTATTCTCCCATTTGCGCAAAGTACCTAAAACATGTAAAAACACGAAAAATTAAAATACGAAAATGCAACCATGAGTGTGCAAAAATAGCAAATCGAGCGTTTGACGTTTAAAAAGGAGCATGGCGAAATACGACGCGTAGAGTGGAGGTTTTTTTGGTTGCTTTGGAGCGAATGAAATAATATATATATTAAAAACTGCTACTATCAATATAATAAATAAACAAGGTTAAAATCTTAAAAGCTTTGCAAACTGTTTTAGTTTACAATAACTTAACAAAAATCAGAAGTGGGATAAACAGCGCCTAGCCGAAACGTGTGAGTGTGTCCTTGGGAGCGCTAGCGCTTCAACACATTAACATGCGCGAAAGCGAAGTTAAGGTATAAAGAAAAACAAAACGAAACGGGAACGAAATTTGTTGTTTATAAATTAACGGCGGTAATAAAATGAGAATGGTGAAGTTGAAGGATATGCGTTTAAGCGAGCTGAAGGAGGCGTTGGAGGAAGAAGGTTTAGATACGACGGGCAACAAAGCGCAGTTAGTATTGCGTCTGACAGAGCACCTGAAAGCAGACGAAATCCGCGAGCCGGTAGATGTGATCAATTCACGAATAGATAATATGGAACGAATGATTCAACAACTTGTAATGGGCATAGAAAACGTGACACGAAGTAAACCTACGGAAAACGTGAGCGAAAAAAATGAAAATCAGAAGACGGAAATTACATCTACAGTGGTTAACGATTTACCACAACATGGGTCGGTAAAAGATATCAGCGAAACGATACCCGTGTTCGATCCAACAGATAAAAATGGTCTTACAGTTGGACAATTTATCAATCGCGTCAAAAGATCTCTTAATGCATTCCAATGGAATGAAAAACAACTATTGCTAGCCGTTTATGGAAAGTTAAAAGGAGTAGCGCGGTTGTGGCTGGATTCTCTACAAGAATTTGATAGCGAGTGGAGCAGTTTTTCGAATAAGTTGCGTGCAGAATTTGATGTAAAATGTGACGAAGCTGACATTAATTTTGAATTGAGTCAAGCGGTACGTAATGTTAATGAAGGCATCATTGACTATTGTTTTCGAATTGCGGCACTTGGCCGACGATACAAGATAAGTGATAGTGCCATTATAAAATATACTCGCAATGGACTAAACGACACTAAATTGCAAGCGGCGATCGCACCGCTACGGTTTAATAATTTAAAAGATTTTCGCGAAAGTATTGAGGACTTTTTACGCAATATGCAACATGGAACGAACAAAATAGCTTTGGCAAATTCATCGTCAAATCCGATAATAAATTCGAGCGTAAGTGGAGACGCAAATGAAAACTCCGGACAGAAACAGTTTAGAACGGAACCGAAGGTTAGAGCTTGCTTCAATTGCGGTGAAGCGGGACATTTTTCGCGCGAATGTTCAAAGCCACAACGTAGACAACGGTGTAACAATTGCGGAAGAGTTCACCCAAAAGGTCAGAGTACGCACTGTGGGGAGTCAAGTGTGCGTCGAATTGAATAAATGGTAGACAATGTACAGCACTACTTGATACAGGTAGCCAGTGCAGTCTTATACGGAAAACAGTATCGAGAAATATTAATGGTCAAATTCAGTTATGTTCCATGAACATTTCGGGGTTCGGCGGTGGAAAGGTACGACTAACTGAAGGGGTTAGGGCCCAACTTGCCGTCGACAGTGTAAGCCAACTAATATATTTTTATGTAGTAGACGATAAAATGTTGACAACCGATATATTGCTAGGCCATGATGTTGTGTGTGGTCGTACAAATTCAGCGCGATACGTTTACTTTAGAGAAAACGCCAAGACACTTAAGAGTAAGAATAACTACGCGGGACCCTATATCAACGAACGAAATCAATTGTAGAAGCGATAACGATGCAATACGACGAGACTTGTGCAATCTCATTAATAGTAATAGAGACGTATTCGCCACAAGCTTGAGCGAAATAGGCAAAACGGGTTTAACGGAAATGAAAATTACATTAACAACCGATCAACCAATCGTACAAAAGCCTTATCGGGTACCAGCACCAAAACGGTCGGTGGTGGCAACAATGGTAAATGACCTTTTGGAAAACGGTATCATCCAGAAGTCAGAATCTCTGCCAGCCCTATTGTTTTAGTCAAGAAAAAGAATGGCGAAGATCGCTTATGCGTTGATTATCGGCGTATCAACAACAACACGATCAAAGAAATATTTCCCACCCCAAGTATCGAAGAACGGCTGCAAGAAGCGAAACAATATACTTATTTCACAACCCTTGATCTTAACTCAGGGTATTATCAAATACCAATAGCGAAAGAAAGCAGAAAATATACTGCATTTATAACGACAGACGGGTTGTATGAATTCAAACGTATGCCTTTCGGACTCAAGAATGCTCCGGCGGTATTCCTGCGTACGATGGCCAAGGTCAAAGAAATGACTCATCCTGGCGATATGGTGGATTTTATGGACGACATTGGCGTAGGCGGAAATACGGCAGACGAAATGTTTAGTAAATTACAACGAGTATTCAATGCATTACGTGAGGCGAAATTGATACTAAATATAAAAAAATGCATATTCCTAAATCGAGAGATCGAGTTTCTGGGTCATAAATTAACTTCAGACGGCATTAGCCCTGGTACAGCAAAAACTTTAGCAGTCGAAAACTTCGCAAGGCCCCGAAACCAAACGGAAGTACGACAATTTTTGGGTTTAAGCGGTTACTTTAGGAAATTTGTTCCAGGTTATGCGATCGTGAGTAAACCATTGCGACAGCTTTTGCATAAAGGCGTAAATTTTGAGTGGGGTAACGAGCAAGAGGGGTCATTCAATGAACTGAAATCGACATTAACGAGGAAGCCAGTTATGACTGCTTATCGATCGGATGCTGAGCATCAAGTACATACTGACGCAAGCTCAATTGGGTTAGCAGGCGTGCTGTTACAAAATGAGATGGGCGAATGGAAACCGGTCGTGTACTACAGCAGATCTACAACGATAGATGAACAAAAGTTCCACAGCTACGAGCTGGAAACATTAGCCGTTGT